TTGTACAAGTAACACGAGAAGGAGAAAACAATTTATTTCAATAAGTTAAGAAATAACACTCCCTCCCACAACTCCCCTCCCCTTCCTCTCCAAAATCATACATTTTGTAGAGTTTAAGGGCTCTTAAGGTCTGCGTATATCCTATCCTCCCCAGACTGCACTTATGGGATTACACTGGTTATATTGTTGTTGTCGTTACAGCAGCAAAATCTTCTTGAAATAGGTGTCCCACCCCCCCCCCCTCCAAATTTCTGCTGTTTGTAGCTTGATTTTTCTATTTTGCTTGAATATTCCCTAATATAAGTTGATGCATGCCTATTGTTGTTCAGAATGTGCGGTCAGTGGTTTTTTTAATTCTCTTCTGGTGATTTATTTGAAATATATGATCATATTCATTTCCTTTTCCAGATGACTACTGCAATAGCCATTGAGGATGTGAGAAGAGAGGTGAAGATATTAAGAGCTTTGACAGGACATAGCAATTTAGTAAAATTTTATGATTCATATGAAGACCACACCAATGTCTACATAGTCATGGAGTAAGCTTCATCACTCAACTCCCATCACATTTACATTTGCAATGGGGTTCAGTCTCAAACTTAGGTTGAGAGAAAACTTTATTGGAAAGTAACCAGAGTTTCAAGTACATGACAGTTTGTTTATTTTCTCAGCAAACATTTGTGTTCAATTATGATGTTTTGCTCTTATCAGGAGCTTTATCTGCTAATTTACTTATCACACCGCTCTTTTGAAATACTACTGATTAATCTTGTTATATTTCAGGCTGTGTGAAGGAGGTGAGCTTTTGGATAGAATACTCTCTAGGTAGTTCTTGATCTTTCCTATGTTTCAACATTTTTGAATTTGAACCTTGTGTTTTAATTGATAGAGAAGGTGCTAAGTTGTAGTGTTCTTGTCCTGCAGAGGTGGAAAGTACTCGGAGGATGATGCAAAGACTGTAATGATACAAATACTGAAAGTTGTTGCATTTTGCCACCTTCAAGGTGTGGTACACCGGGATCTTAAGCCAGAGGTGGGAGGACTAAAGTTCTCACTCTATGATTGCTTTAGAACAAACAACATTTCAGCATATCTAGATATTTTACCCTGTGTAGAAGGGAGAAATTTTTTTTGCACAAAAAAACGCCTTTTTCTTTACTGGGTCTTGGATTATGTTAATATTCCAACTGCAATAAATTTTCTTTCAGTTTCAAGTTGTGTAGATATATTATTCATCAGGCAGACTTAATGTTTGTTTCATCTGGTATTAGAGTTTAGGAACTAAATTGTTTAGCTAGCAAGTGACAGAGAAGCTCAAATGTACAGCCGTGGCATTTTTCTGTGGCTGAATCTATCACTTGTTGGAGAAGCTATGACATATGTTTCAGTAAACCTTCCTCTCTATCATACTGTCCGTCGTCTAATTCTAGCTTTCTGATTGACCAGAATTTCTTATTTACGTCTAAAGAGGAAAATGCACAACTTAAAGCAATAGACTTTGGACTTTCTGATTTTGTGAAGCCAGGTTAGTCCATTACTGCATCTCTGTAACCACTCCCCTCCCCACCCAAAAAAAAGGAGAGTAGAAAAAAAAGAACTACCTTTCATAAAATTTGAGAACCTCACCAACTTGTTTACGTGCCTTGCTCAATTACTTTGCAGATGAAAGACTTAATGATATAGTTGGTAGTGCATATTATGTTGCGCCCGAGGTTCTACATAGATCTTATAGTACAGAGGCTGATGTTTGGAGTATAGGTGTCATAGCATATATCCTATTGTGTGGAAGCCGTCCTTTTTGGGCTCGAACAGAATCTGGGATATTTAGGTCTGTCCTCAAAGCTGATCCAAGTTTTGAAGAACAGCCCTGGCCTACATTATCTTCTGAGGCGAAAGACTTTGTGAAACGTCTATTGAATAAGGATCCCCGGAAAAGAATGACTGCTGCTCAGGCTTTGGGTGAGTTTCTTGAGTTATATTGGAAAATACAATCTTTTGTTCTTTAAATTTCTGCAAACTGCTGAACTACTTACTGTCTCAGGTCATCCATGGATAAAGAATAGTCACAACATAGAAGTGCCTTTGGATATTCTGATATTCAAACTGATGAAGGCTTACATGCGGTCCTCTGCTCTTAGGAAAGCTGCACTACGGGTGTGTATGATGCTACCATGAAAAGTTTTTGTGTTCCCATTTTATCTTCCGAGTCCAGTGCTATATGTCAAGTAATGAAGCTCTATTTTGTACCGCATAGTATTTGCTGAAATTCTGACTAATCTTTTGCATTGTTCTTCATGGCATTGTCATTCTACAATTTTTGCAGGCTTTGTCGAAGACATTGACAGTAGATGAGCTATTCTATTTGAAGGAGCAGTTTGCACTGCTACAACCAAGCAAAAATGGCACCATAAGCTTTGACCATGTTAAAACGGTTTGTCTTTTGGAATAAAGAACGATTTATTAGTTTCTTCTTGTATCTTTCATGTTTTTGCTGATCTTCATGATTTTACCAGGTCCTGATGAAACATGCAACAGATGCAATGAAAGAAGCTCGCATCCATGATTTTCTTGCATCGGTAGATTTTGAGATCCTATTGACTTCAGATATTTAACTGGTGTTGTCATTGTTATGGGTTTAATAAATACTCCTTGTTCTTGTCATGCAGCTTAATGCGCTGCAGTACAGGAGGATGGATTTTGAAGAATTTTGTGCTGCTGCATTAAGTGTTCATCAGCTTGAGGCTTTTGATCGTTGGGAACAACATGCACGTTGTGCCTATGAAATCTTTGAGAAGGAAGGCAATAGGGCCATTATGATAGAAGAATTAGCTTCGGTAATCATGGTTCATTTTTTGTTCTGAATATTGATTGCCACGTGTTAGTCTCTTATATAACTGTCTCGTTTTTTCCTTTTCGGGAGAGGAGAGTGTGCAATTGATTGGGAAAGCAATCTAACTGAATTTAATTCAAATTTTTGGTCCAGGAACTTGGTCTTAGCCCTTCGGTTCCTGTCCATGCTGTTCTACATGACTGGCTCAGGCACACTGACGGAAAGCTCAGTTTTCTTGGTTTTGCAAAGTTGTTGCATGGAGTGTCTAGCCGTTCAATTGCAAAAGTTCAATGATTCAAGCCCCACTGAATCAGAAAATGGTTCTCTTGGTGTATCTACATTCTTGTCATGAATACATTGTTTGACAGTCAAATGAGCTTGGGAGTGACGAATGGAGAAGATCAATTTATGCCCCTCAGTCTGGAGCTTCATAGATCTCATTATTTTCTCATGAGATTCCGCGGAACATCATTCCTGGAGAGGATGAGAGGTTTGACCGCCGTGTGTTATCAGAGCAGTGACATCCTGCATATAGAGTTCTTACTGTAAAGCTGTAGTTAGTTATGTTTGATTGCAGGTGAGAGTACTTCTCAGCTGGTTTTTGGTCGCACACTAGGTGTTTTAACTTGTTGGACATGCGCTGATGTCTACAATTGCATTGTGTAATGTTGTCTGCATGTTTTTATAGTTAAGAAGTTCCACCACTTCCTTTTCTTGCTTCTCAATTAGATTGGAGTATATGCGACACGAAAGGATCAATCATCGCGAGACTCATCAACTTTTTAGCTAAAAGCTTTGCTAAAGATAGGTTAATGCAGTCTAGGTGATTTTTTCCTATCCAGCGAGAGTCCCACAGCTACGCTAGTTCTACCGTGCTTTCCTTCCTTGGCCTAAGAAAGAAGGCTAGTAACTTCCCTTATTCATAGGGGCATTTCTATCGAGTAGTCACTCTTTCTGTCCTGACTCGGAAATAAATCCGATGGTCAATCTTTCCCTGGCTTGAGAGGTTTCATTTCAGGTTAAGCAGGGGATCTTCACTCTAATGCTTTCTTCAGCTTCATATAGGTGAATCATTGATTCTTTTCCTCTCTTTCCCTCTTGCGAGCTTCCTTTCGGAGTCGACGTCGGGACGCCCTTTCTGTCTTAAACTTAATCAATAGTTATCTTGTACGTGCATGCAATGATCAAGTAGTCACTGAAAGCATGTACCAAATTGTTCAGTTGGTTGTCCTTAAATCTAATTGTCTTTCCTCCAGCCTTAATTTTAAGTAGGGAAGATAATGAAATATTGAACGACGAACACATGCTAAATTAACTTGATAAATGTCATCACTGCCATAATTTTTTTTAAATATTCTTGGCAAATATTATTTCGGAGAAAATTTATCATGTGTTTGACCATAATATTTGGAAAATATATTTCACTTTTTTAGAAAAAAACGACTTAGACCCAATAAGTTTTTAAAACTAACCATAAGGATATTTTACAAGTCAACTGAAGTTTTGTTGCAACATTAACAAATAGTGTCTATGACACTAGAACAATGTGGTAGTTTAGAGTGAATCATTTCATACATTGTGAAGTAGACAAAACAAATGACTTTGTTACTCTCAGTCGATTGTTCATTATTTTCATCAACAACCATATCATCATTTAATATTTATTGAATCGGTGTTCACGTAAAAAATTATGCAATATAATGCAAACCACTACTATAGAGCGTGTTTTTGTAAAAGATAAAAATTTGGTGTAAAATTTCAATTTTTTAAAAACAAATAATGAGATTAGATCCAAATACTAGAAAAAATTAGTATTTTGGAAATTTGAAATATTTATCAAATAATAACAAATTCTATGGATAAACATAATTCGCCAATTTTTTTCTCTAGCATTATTTAGGAAATCTATGACCAAACAGTACTTAAATAATGATTTATTGAAACAAAATTAACTTGATTTTGAAAGATGAATCAAATTTCATTTTTTTGAACATTAAAGATTACCGTTTATTTGACTTTACTAGAAGGGCATGGCCTGTGCTTCGAGCCCAACATAATTATTTTTCTCGGTAAATAATAAAGTATGTTGAAAATTATTCGAAGTCATATTTATTACAAAGGAACAATTTATTCAAGTTGTGTATATGAATTACCGAAAGAGATAATCAAGTAAGGAAATAAATTGTATTCACTCAAGCATTTGCAAAATCATTGATAAGGTGAACTACATAAAATATTGACTCAAATTTTCACCCAAACGAAATAATCAAAAAGTAAGAGTGCTCAAAGTTTTTAGAAACATTCTGCATCTACAGACATTACTAATAATGTGTCAACATCTGGACTATGATTCAAATTTTAGTAATGTGTCAACATATCTAACTCTTCTGTGCCCAAACATTACTATTTGTTGTTCCCTGCAAATTATATGTAAGTGCACACACAAAAAATAATCAGCACAAGTTCTTGTTAAGTCTATCAACTCTTATTTGTGGAAACTGCATATGTATATCAAGGTGATAAAAATAGAAGTTAATTAAGTAGTTCTTTTAAAAGTCAAACTTCTATCTTTACAGATTTGACTTGCTATGCATGTCCTTATCTATGCTAAGAACACCTTATAAGGGTAAACATTTGCTCAAGTCCGCTTTTAGCGAAATTGAGCCAAAATCTCTATTCAAGATAAATTCATAAAGTGGTGTATTTTTAGGTAAAAGACTCTTTTTTCTTCTTACAAGTAAAATGATATATGAAAGAAAGAATTTATCTCTGGCAGAGATAAAAGCATGTTATAGATATGTTTGTATTCTTTCATTTAAGTTTACTACTCTTAACTTAAGATTTTCAATTCAATAAATGAAAAGCTAACGACAATTTCTTCAAGTAAAACCTATCTTATATGCATAATCACATAATATGTAAAACCTTCTTCATTAGATATTATGTGTGTCAAAATCACACATAATACCTCATTAAGGGAATGAATATTACCAAATCATTCCCAACCATCATTAGTCTCTCAATCCCAGAACTGCTATAAAGTCGACTCTACATGTGAAGTATTTTAAACTTTTTTGTATCTAATACTAAAGTTGTAACTTCTATCCAAGAATAACTACTAAATACTACTACAACACCATTCAAAATAGAACATTGCGGTTCGATTTCAAGAAAAAGAGACCTACAATTTCAAAAGCCTGAAAAAGGATGTGAAATTGTACCTTTAGTCTTGAAAATTAGAAGTTGAATGTGTTTCCCTTTTTCATGGTTTGGCTCCCCCTTGTTCTGTTTCTGGAATTTAATTATTTTTCTCAGTTACATGCATCACTCAACAATACAAGTAGGTGAGCAAGGATCCAACATTACTAATTAGTGAGTATACCAAATGTATTTGAATCACAAAAAGAGTCAAATCCATGAGAATGTGAAACTCTACAGAGTGTGCATAGTATACATAAATACAAAGTCAAGACGAACTACAAAGATTTGATGCGTTTTCATATCCCATGACATGACACTAAATAGAGTAAACTCTTTATTAAGATGTCTACAAATAAAAAGAGGGTGTAGATAAAATCTGTCCATCCATATTCCACATATTACATGTTAAAATAAAAATAATCATCGGAAAAAGTAAAACTTATTTGATTGAAGTAACACTGGATATATTGTTAATACCTTGCATCTTTCTTTCTTTAATTAGCGTGCGAGGATGTTAAAGAGTACCATTAAAAATTAAAAAGTATCTTCATTTTAATACTCGAATAGAATTATTAAAGAAGGTCCGGTGTCGATGAGACTTTTCTTTGCTAAAACAATCCTCAATAAAATTTTAAGATCGGATAAACTTGTTAAATTCTTATATATTTGAATTAGTAGACTTGTCAAAAAATAGAAAATTGACAATTCATCTAAGCTTCTCATTACTATTGTTTCTTTAAATGGTGATTTAGTGTGTTCAGTGATACAACAATTTGTGCTCAGTGCTCCTAGTAAGAAAATTGTCATTGAAGCATTGGAATGAATCGTGTAGGGAGATTTATGTACAAGTTGGCAAAGAGGAGGTAAGAATCTTGCCTTTTCTATTATTACTATATTTTAAATAAGCAATTTATAGTTATGAATTTATGGTAATGATTGTTATTATTGTTCTATAAAAAATAATATACTCGTACAAATGAAGAAACAGGATATGTACCTTACAGTCAGCAGAGAGAACCACTTGTGACACAAACAAATCGAAGGCATGTCTCCATGGACTCTGCCAAAAATAACGTAGAAAAATATGTTTTTTACTTCATATATAATTGTGAAAAATTAAATATAAAGGCATAGCATTAAAAGTTAATCTAACCAATTTTACTATACAAATGAACAAATACATGAACTCTAAGAAGCACGTCTTTTAAACACTTACACATTCTAAAAATGCATCTTTAATCATCCTAGCTCTAAATCTAAAGACTGAACAAACACAACAGCATAACAACAAAAAGCATCACCCCAGCACATAAAAAGAGAAAAATGCTTAAGTAGCACATCAAGCATTCCATACCCCAAAATAGTTGAATTCGGTGTGGGTTTTTTCACCGTAACAATACAACCAAAGTAATTTAACTATATGGATAGAGAATGACATTTTTATGTACATGCCATACCCCAACTGTTGGGAATAAATCCGTAACAGAACTAATATTTGTGGTAATAAAGGCAATAAATGCGGAACACAACAATACGATTAATCAACGAGAATAAAAGAGAAATAATGACACCAAAATTTTACGTGGAAACCCTCCTAAATAAGGGGAAAACAAGGACCCGAGAGGAGCAACGAATATCACTATAGTAAGGATTTTATACTTGTATGTCTGAGTAAAACTCCAAAGACCACTACACATTCAAAAGAAATAACACTCTTTTGATTTTTCCACCTCACTACAATATCGCTCACACTCTCTATTTTTCCTCACAAATTATTTTTCTATGTGATGCGTCACTCTTCTTTTCTCACCTTTGTAATTCTTTTTGGTGCATTTTTTATATGAGCAAGGGCTCTGTATTTATAGGAAAATCTACTCCTAATGATGTCACCAGTGACATCGCAAAAAAACACAAAGTTTCAACCTTTTCACCTATGCAGAAATCTTGTTAAGATTTTAATTGAAAAAAGAAATAGTGAGCTTTGAATTTTGTTGCAGTATTTGTTGATTTTAACAATAAGCAACAAACAAAATTCAATCATTTCTACATTTTAACTTTCCTTATGTTTATCTACTATGGGTATGGACCCCACACCAACATAATTAAATTCAGTGTGGGCCTTTTCACCGTAACAATATAAACCAAAGTAATTTAACTATATGAATAGAGAATGACATTTTTATGTATATGTAAAAAAAAATAAGCTACTATATCTCCAAATAAAAAATGGATTTTTTTTTCCAGGCTACGTACAATAAATACATAGTTGTATAAGTGATGACATGTTCCAGCTAGACTACATATGATAAATATATAATTGGGTAAGTGATAACAATAATGTACGACCACCTCACGAGCCATGAGTATAAACACTACTATAGAGAGAGACTACTAATACTCAACCTTCAACCAAATTAGTCAATACAGGTCCAACCTAAATGATCTGACTTGTTCACATTCTCGAGTCCTAAATCATAAACAATTTCATTTTCACTTCAAAGATAATCAATAATTGTGAATTTGAAAAATACAAATATGTTGCTTCAGAAAAAAGTCAAACTTTACAGAAGCAGATTGTTCAGAAGTATACGGTATACCAATCAAATCTCCCACTAACAAAATGACAAAATTGTTGAGAAAAAAGGGGAGGAAAATCTCCAAAATAATGACTATCAAAAATATATAGTACTAACCTTTGAGAAATATTTTCAGAGAGTCTATATTCTCACTGAATTCTTCGTAATATATTCTATACATAAAAAATTGAGACAAAATAGTGAATGAGTACATGCACGTGCAAAATCAGCTAAAGGAAAAGTCAAATACTCACAAGATTTCTGGTGAGTTTTACTTAATGTTCTTTCTTTCTTGTTGCATCCATATCATAATGATGGCGTCCCTGTAAACTTTCCCCAATTCCCAAATCGGAAGCACATAAAATAAAAGATAATTTTGACTTTAATAAGTAAGAATTCAATATCTAAAAGAAAAATAACCAAACTGAGACTGAAAGATTACCTCTAATTTCGATAGTCAAATGTGAATTAAAAACTAAAGCACGTAAGAACGCATGTTTATTCAATAGTGAATAGGGCTTAAATGGTAGAGTACAATTTTCAATACTATTGGTACCACTTTGTAAAACTGTGTTGTATTGATACTCTTTGTGTTTAGCTTATATATAATATAAGGGTAATAATAATTTGTAACTATTTTATATTACTTCACGAGAAATTAGGGACGGAAAGTTAAATAGATTCAACCCGTGTGGGGTATTTTGAATTAGCAAAAAAGTGGTTAAATAGCGGGGACGTTAAAATTAGGGCATTTTGAATGAGAATGGGTAGTCTCTTGTTGAAATGATGGAAAGGAGTAGGGCAAAACGTTGTGTGATTGAGATTTCCTCTTCTTCCGAGCAAGAAAATGGTGACGATGAAGGAGGAGGAGAAAGTTCAGAAGAATCAGTACAAATATTAGGATCGGATGACGATTTTGATGCCGCTAGTACATATGATTTTGACGACTCTGCCTCAAGGTATTGGTTTCCTATATTATGCCTCAATTCTAAACTAATTTTGCTAGGGTATATCAATGATTTATGTTCATATCAATTTTGGATTATTTGGCCAGCGAGAGCAACGGTGATTCCGAAGATGAGGAGGAAGACGAGTCTTCCCCGTCTCAACAACATGGTGATGAGGATATCCAAGAGGAAGGTGAGGAATCGGGTAGCGAAAGAGTGCTTCAGCTTCTCCAAGGTATGAAGATTTTCTGCCCTTAGGTTTCTGGTAATCTACTGATAAACTAAAGAAAACGAAGTTGCACTAAATCCCTATGTTTTTTGGGGAAACTTGATTGTTCTTCAACTAAATCCCTATGTTTTTTGTTTGTTGCTTTCTGCTAAATTGGGTTAAATGTTGGGGGGAAACGTCATGTGTTGTTTTTTAAAATTCTATTTCCCATCAAGAACAACTCATGACGTTTTCCAGGTGTTATTGGAGCCAAGTGAACATGAACAAATCTTTTTTATGGAAGTCCAGTTGATACTAGTTTTCCACATGAGCTTTTGTGGCCACAGAAAGGAAGGGTGCAAAGCAATATGGTTCCTATGTCCTGCCATTGGCCAGGATAGAACTGGTAAAAATTATATGTGAAGAAAATTTACTCATTATTCAAAAGAAAATTTGGGGTATTATCAATTATAATGTAAACTGTGGATCCTGACATTTATACACAGTGCACTTCTATACAAGGTTCATAACTTGATCTCTTTTCAAGGTGGAGATTAGGCAAATGCATAAATATTTTCCAACTATTTTCAAGTTTTCGTCGTATTTCGACTCTAAATTGGTTAGTTGCAGTATTCTCTAATATATGAATACATCACCTTTTGTGTGTTATATAGGTGGTGGAGAATTGAGGAAGCTAATTGAAGGATTGGGGAAGCTCGCTTTGACGGACTATAAAGCATATTTGCGATCAAATGGATTGAGGTTATCAGGTACAAAAGAAGAATGTATACAGAGGATCATAGAGCACTGGAGGTACGTCTTAGTGTAAGATGTAAACCTGATATATTTAAATGCAGCACTATATATATATATATTTTTTTTTTTTTGTGGTACAAGGATGGATCTCATTAATAGCTTGAGCTTCAAGCATTCAGATTGCCAAGTATGAGCAGCCAGCTTGAGATTGCATAAGAATATTTAAGAAAATGGGAGAAAACTTTAAAAATTACTGGTGCATATAGTCAAGCAAGTTAAAAACCCTGGTTTGCATCATTAGAGACTAGAAGTGCTCCATGACTTTGTTCCTACTTTATCATTCTAAATTTGCAACTGACTGCAAAAGTTCCGTTCTAAATCATACTGAAAATTCAACTAACTAGAAGTTGTGTTTTGGATTAATTGTAAATATGATCTTGTCACTCCATATTTTGAACTGTATTGTACCTTTTCCCAGTAGTCTTTCGTTCTTTTCCTCCTATGCTAATGGGAAGTCTTATTGCTTCATTTGTACACAGGATTAAAGATGGAAATGGTCAAAGACAATATCCCAGATCATCTTTTACCATAAACTGCACTGGTAGTTAATATTTGGCATCAGCCATCAATGACACCTCAGGATCTCTGTTTCATCTATGCTTCTTGTACTTCCCCTTTTGTTTTTGATCTTTGAGTGTTTAGGTTGGTGATTCCATGTGCAGGTGACGTATGTAAAGGAGATGTTGTATTATTTCAACAGAAAGTGTACAAGAAGTATTCACCTAATCGATTCTCCTGTTTGTTTCACAGTTTGTCAGTGTAGAGTGGTCTTTGCCTTTTGGATTAATCATGTTGTGTTTTGAAGGTTTGAAAAGATGAGAAGGGGTGGAGAACAATCAGGGAAGAGAACCATTGCTGGTAGGATTGTCAAGGAGAGCTATGGCGCTGCCAAACAGCAGCATACCTTTACGGTAAGGCTCAAGAGAGAGTTTGAGCTCACTGAGATATCTGATTACAAGTGAAATAAACTTTTTCTGGGTGAGACTGAGAAATTATGGATATAAGCTTTCTTGAACACCTAGCAGTCTAGCACTATCAGTCTTCTAATAACCCTTTTGTGCAATTTCATATGCAAAGTTCTGCTAAATATATCTCCATCTACTTTTTGTGATTAACAAGGTTGAGGTGTTATGGAGCCAAGGGGTTAAACAATTACCTCCACTTTTTCCATTGCTTGTGAAGGGACGAAACCTTTATAAGATGAAGACTTTCAGACAGGTGAACCTGCCAGCCATTCTGGAGTACCTGTAGTTCTTATCAGATATTCTATCATTTTAACTGTTATTGCTGCTGGATAATCAGAGATGGAGGGATGAAGAGGAAAGACTAGAAGTGCTCGGAGAGAAGCACAAACGTGGAGATGCAGCGAGATTTATTAGAGCAACAAGAAAATCAAAATCAACAAAGCCGACAAAAGCATCCTCTAAAAACAAAGGTGCATTTTACGGAAATTAAATTGATGCATCACCAGCTTTTCACTCAATACACACTAAAACTTTATGTTTACTGTAATGTAGTTTTTGTTACATGTAGGTAACAAGCGCCAGAAACTTGATCATCATATGAGGCCAAGCAAAATGATGCAGACAAGCAATGTAAAGAAACATAATCATTCTATTGATGAACGTGGGAAAGCAATGGCAGGAAGTAAAAGAACGAAAAAACATCAGCGAAAGCCTTATCCACCAGGAAGATTGAATTTGGCAGAGGCCAGTAACTGTAAACCCCCTATGAGGAATCCAAGCTTTGTGCCTGCCGGTAGGGAGACCTCATTGCAGTTCAATTATCCTCCAGCAACTAATTTTCGCCAATTTGAGTCATATTCTTACAGCCAAAGAATACAATATTCGCATTCATCTAACTGGTGTTCAGCGCCAAGATCACATTTAGGCTCTTACTCCTCTTATACTTTGCCTGTTCCAGAGCATCAAAGTTATGGTCATGGAAGTTATCCAAATTCTTCATACGCTAGGTATGTATCTCAGTCTAACAATTATCCGCATCCCCCTGGCATGTTGGGTATTGATAGATCATCTGACTCAATCCCATTTGTAAACTATGAACGTAGATGGAACTCTTAGCTTTTTGTTTCTCTTACACACAAACTTGTGCTCTGCACATAGCAGCAGCAAGGGGTTTACATAAACAAAATAGTGCAAGGTGTCTTAAACTGACATTTGGAACATTGCCTTGTAGTAAATGTCGAATTTCAAACATATGTACAGAAATTTGCAGAAGTGTTTCGTCTTAAATTGATATTTTTTTATTTTTATTTTTTTAAAGTACAAGCTAGGGAAGAGTAGGTCTTATTTTTCCAAAACTAATGAGGTACCTAGCCTCTACTAATTAATAATCATGAAGAAAATACAAGCTAGCGAGGACTAGATAATCATCATATAAGTTTATAATCCTGTACATCTATTTTTTTATCTTTAGTTGAGCTTCTCTTATTTGCTTGCTTAGAGGTGAAGATCAACCAGAGAAATTAACTTCCTATTATTATTGGTTTACTGATAATCTTTATACTATACTAGACTCAAGTGTGTGCTAGCACGAATCCAATATTTAAGTACTTTTTTGTCTCACCTTTTGTGACAAATAAATTTTAGAGAGTTTAACTAAATTTTAATATGATTTTAAATATTTTAAGTTGTTAATTATTATAATTTATAGTACTTTTATGTAATTTATAAATAATATATGTTACTTCGGTGTCCCAATATATGTACTAGAAATAGAATTTCAAGTTTTCAATCATCATGATTTATAATATTTTTTCATACAATTTATATATATATATATATATATATATATATATATATATATATATATATTACAAGTTGTCAATTATTATGATTTATAATATTTTTATAAATTATTTAAATATATAAAATAATTTTGAAAAATAAGATACCGGAGGCAAAATATAATTATATATATATAAAATAGTAAGTGAAAAAGGCATGTCGATCGCCACATGGTTGGTTATACAAATAAACTAAAACCGTTTAAGAAGTCTGTTAGGATGATGATGTGCAACGTTTTTGCACTGAAGTAGCACCGTGGGCGTGCCCTTGAAATACCTCACCAATCATGATGTGCAATGTTTTTCTCATGAAATTTGATCAAAATTTATTCATGTATTTCTAATTCCTCAAAAATTAGCTCAGACCAATTTGTTGAATTTTTTACCCATAAAACTTCAAAAAAAAAAAAAATACAAATTTAAGTAATTTAAAAATTTAAATTTCTAAGTTTCAAACTTAAAGTTAACCAAGAGAGCTAAGAAAATGAAAGGTTAAGAAATGGGTTTAGTGTTAGCATCGTTGCCTTTTGAGACATAGACTGGCAACGATAAGACTAATCATTTTGGTTTGTGTCAGCTATAAACAGTTGTGGGCCAAAATGGATGACGACTAATATTTTTATATGTATCGGAGGTTACATGTACTTTATAAAGAAAGTCAGATATTTGTGTTCTCAATTAGAACACGAATGCCACTTCTAACCATTCAAAGACCTGTTACTACCTAAATTATAATTTTCGGTTTTAATTTATGTGATAAAGTTTAACTGAAATTTTTCAAAACAGAAACTTATGCTATTTTAAAAGAGTTCAAAACTCATGCGAATATC